TCCTAACGAGGATAAATAGATGGAAGAGAATAGAGGAGGAAGGTGTATTTAGTCCCTCTCTCTCTCTCTCTCTTTCTCTTTCTCTTTCTCTCCTTCTCTCTCTCTCTCTCTCTCTCTCTCTCTCTCTCTCTCTCTCTCTCTATCTCTCTCTCTCTCTCTCTCTCCCTCAAAACTGATCTCTGTAAACGGGCCGATCGAAATAAAAAAATCCTTAATGTCGTTCCCCGTTAAGAAGAAGAAGAAGAAGAAGAATGATAAGAAGAAGAAGAAGAAGAAGAAGAACAACTATCCGAATCGAAAACGGTTTTGGTACTCAGAAGGTTCTGGTGGATCCTCTTACTCGAATCACCGCCTCAGACTGAATGCTGCCAAAGCTTTGAGCACGGCTGCTTCAACGAGCCCTCTAAAAATGGCCGCACTGATCCCATTGGCCTCTCCTCCTTTTGCGGCCGACACCCCCCCGGCATATGTAAGCTTACACTTGAGACTACCACGCGAGGCTTACTTGCTCCCTCGCGTAGTGCCTCGCGCCAAATTTGTCTTTACCCGAAAATAGTCAGTCCCACGGCTGCCACCACATGGCGACTATTCCTGGTTCGGGACTCGAGTGATAACTTAACCGGCCTTTCCGTCTACGTCTCTCTTCGATAACTTTCTTTCTTTCCTTCCTTTTCCTACTTTTTCTGCATCCTTTTTCCTTTCTCTTCCGTTTCATCTGTTTTTTTTTTTTTCTTTTTCCTTCATTTTTTCCCTCACGTCAGAATTCTCCCTTTTTTTTCTTTTTTCTTTCTTGTTTTCTTTCTTATTATTTCTTCTTCTTTTTCTTTTTCTTTTTTTTTTCTTTTTCCTTCTTTTCTTTTTTTCTTTTTTTTTTTTTTTTATCTCTCCTCTCGATCACTATTCGCGTATACGTTAAGCCGAAATATCTATTACGATGATCAAGAAATAAGAAGAATGAAAGAGAGAGAGAAAGAGAGGGAAAGAGAGAGAATGAAAGAGATCATTTCAATGATCTTGGAAATTTTATCCATTCTTGATGACATCCTATCGTCCTTCAATATTTTTATTCCCGATAGTTTCATATTTGTGTCTTTTTTTTCTTTTTCTCTCTCCCTCTCTCTCTCTCTTTCTATCTTTTTTCGAACGTTCACCTACATCTATTACGTTGAATTCATAAATTTTACGATAACGTCGTAACGGTAACGTTATTTTCAATGGATCATAAATTTGGAATATGCAAAGATGTATTTTCACGTAGTTATTCCAACGTTATTGACCTTCGACACTCACCAACGTACTCACGTATACATAAGTATATCTTATTCGCATGTAATATCCATCCTCTATATCGCTCTCCCTCTCTTTCTCTCTCTCTCTCTCTCTCTCTTTCCTTCTCTCTCTTTCTCTCTTACTCTCTCTTTCAAAGTTCTTCATTTTAATTAGCAAATTCCTCTTCTTTTTTCTTAAAGGAGATACCTATCGCATTTCAAAAGAGAAAATTTATTAATGGTATGAGATAAACGAAGGTATATTAAATAACTATCTTACTTTATATACATATATATATATAATGTAAAACGTTAAACGTTGCACTAGAATGTTTATGTATACACAATTAAATCTTACAAGAATACATTAGTTATATACTAATTTGTAAAAGCTAATAATAAACTTCTTGTTGGATTACAAGACGCTTTAATGCAAACTCACGTTATTTTCACGTTAAAGTATTAAAGTCATCGTATGATTATCGTATCGTGTCTGATAGGGGATATGTTAAAATACACGTACTTATATAAATATAATCTTGATTCAAGTACGTTCATTGATCCTTGATTCAACGTGAAAAATGTATTAATGTTATGAAAACATATATCTCAATGACATATGTATATAAGCATACACATGTGCGTATCAATTTAACATTGATTGATATTATCGATCGTTCTCGTGGCTCTCTTCGTTGCCGAATAAAAAAAAAAAAAAAAAAAAGAAAAAAGAAGGGACGCGAACTTTTGAAAACAAACTTTTCTTCGTACTCCTTTATTCCAACTAACGTTATTCGTATAAGATTTGGATTCGAAAGTGTATTCGTTTTCTTACTTTCTCTCTCTCTCTCTCTCTCTCTCTCTCTCTTTTTCTCTCTCTATCGTATGCGCGAATTACAACGACGTCTCCAGGTTTAAAATAACTGCCACCCGGAGACGAGATGCATTCGCAAGTTGGCGCGTTCCGGTGAGCCGTGCGAAACGCGAGTCTACGCGTTAATACATTTACTATTTTTAGGACGTCCTCCTCTTCGTCGTAGTTCGTTCGTAGTCATCGTCTTCTTCGTCTTCTTCGTACGGCGACGCGACGTATGCGAGAAAGGCGACAGATTAAAAAATAAACGTCTATAAGCGAAACTGCGCCGATTCTTTTCGACGCAGTCTAAGCATTTGAATTAATTAACAAAAGTCCGATCTTGAATGATAACGCGGAGCAAACATTCGGAGTTAGG